CCCTATTTCATTTTAAGATAAGGATGAATGAAAGTTCTCCGTGTGTCAAGACAACTTACAAAAACACTCATTATATTAACCTCAAAGGTGTATAAATTGGCACCTCACTTTGTAAAAAATGGGGCTGAGCAAATAAGAGCTAGATAAACATTTGAGCTTTATTATTTCTCTATGTAAACAAAGTATTTCTCCATCTTTGTATGTCTTACGGGCAATATCATAGAGATGGTTAGAGAATAATAAAAGAGCAATGGATGTAGGATTCGTTTTAAGCATCTGAACCATTATAAAAATCTCTTTTGTCAATCCTTTATTTATGTTTTTGCAAACATATATAATCTCAGCACCATATTCAAATCATATAAATTCATCACGTGTAATTTCTAAGACTCTCTTAGCACTTTGCATGTGCAAGTTATTGGTGTCAAAATCAAGCATCAACAGTTTGGTGGCCCCTGCAAGTCCTGAACCTGCGTCCAAGCTCCCCAGTCGCGTGATCAGATGATAGATCGCACGCATCAGAGCTCTCAGATGGCATGGCCAGATCGCACGCATAAGAGCTCTTAGATGGCATGATTAGATTGCATGCATCAGAGCTCTCAGATGGCGTGATTAGATCACATGCATCAGAGCTCTCAAATGGCATGGTCAGATCGCAGATTGCACACATCAGAACTCTCAGATGATGTGATCAAATCGCACGCATCAGAGCTCTCAAATTGCGTGTCCAGATCGTAAATCGCACACTCAGATCGCGCGTTCAAAATCGTTGAGATCATGCGCTTAGATCGCTAGCTCTCAAATGGCGTGGTCAGATCGCAGGTCGCACGCATCAGAGCTCTCAGATGGCGTGGCCAGATCGTAGATCGCACGCATCAGAGCTCTTAGATGGCGTGGTCAGATCGCAGATCACACGCATCAAAGCTCTCAAATCGCGTGTCCAAATCGCAAATCGCGCATTTAAGATCGCTCAAATCACGCACTTAGATCGCTCAGATCATCCAGATTGCACATTCAAAATCGTTGAGATCACGTGTTTAGATAATTTAGATCGTGCTTCCGAGCGCTTAGATCACTGATCTTGAGCTCTCAGATCAAGCTTCGCGCTTTCTAATTGAACTTCTTCTGTTCTCAGATCAAGCTTCGCTCTTTTTGATTGAACTTCTTCTGTTCTCAGATCAAGCTTCACGCTTTCTGATCGAACTCCTTATGTTCTCAGATCAAGCTTCGCGTTTTTTGATCAAACTTCTTCTATTCTTAGATGAAGCTTCACACTTTCTAATCGAACTTCTTATGTTCTTCTATCAAGCTCCACGTTTTCTAATCGAACTTCTTGTGATCTCAACTCGAGCTCTTTATGATCTCAGATTGAGCTATTTATGCTCTCAGATCAAGCTCATTATGATCTCAGATCGAGCTCTTTATGCTCTCAGATCGAGCTCGTTGTGATCTCAGATCAAGCTCGTTATGATATCAGATCGAGCTCCTTATGATCTTAGATCGAGCTCCTTATGATCTCAGATCGAGCTCTTTATGTTCTCAGATCAAGCTCCTTATGATCTTAGATCGAACTCTTTATGATCTCAGATCGAACTCTTTATGATCTCAGATCGAGCTCTTTATGCTCTTAGATCGAGTTCCTTATGATCTCAGATCGAGCTCTTTATGCTCTCAGATCGACCTCCTTATGATCTCAGATCGAGCTCCTTCTACTCTCAGATCGAGCTCATAAGCTTACTCGTTTGCTTGAGATCGCGTGCATCAGATCGTTCAGATCGCACGCCTCAAACTCTTAGGTTGAGCTCCTATCAGATTACGATCAACTCCTAGCTCTCAAATCGCAATTAGCTCTTAGCTCTGAGATTGCGAATAGCCTCAGGTCATGTTCTCAGCTCTCAGATTACAATCAGTTCTAATTATCAGATCATGACCATCAGCCAGCGTAAAAAAAAACGCATAGAAAACTCGAAACAACCTCGAAACGGTGGATTTTGGCCCCTAAAATGGCCCCAATTGGGTTTCCCTATTGCCATGACGTAAAGCTCAAAACAAGCTTTCCGTTGATATCTTACGGGCTCCAAAACTCCTTTCGGATCAAAAGTTGTGATTGTTTTAAGTTGGCTTATCCGTTTAAAACCTCTAAGTCGTGCGTTTGGGCTTCTAATGTTAGCCCCCTCCAAGAATTCATCTACTAGACATTTTATGACAGTTATCAGATCGCCCTCAACTTTGAATCGCTTCAAGTGCTCAGATTGCAGTCCTAGCTCTCAGCACCCGATTGCGCTAGACATAATTTAAGCTCTTTAGTTCGAGACTGCAACCTATAGTGCGACAGCCATTCATATTTAAGACATGAGTTTTTGAAGTGAAATTACGCACTCCAAAAACTAGGGGGTTCTATTGTGCCTAAAAAGTCACACTGATGTCAGCTCAACAAGTGCCTAAAAGACAAAGTGTACTAGCTATCAAGCCCATACCGCCTCAAAGATATTTTATACCAACCTATCTCATTTTAAGATAAGGATGAATGAGAGCTCTCCGTGTGTCAAGGCAACTTGCAAAAGCACTCATTACATTGATTTCAAATGTGTATAAATTGACACCTCTCTTCGTAAAAGAGGGGGCTGAACAGATAAGAGCTAAGCAAACATTTGAGCTTCATTATTTATCTTTGTAAACAAAGTATTTCTCCATCTTTGTATGCCTTACGGGCAATATCATAGAGATAATCAAAGAATAATAAAAGAATAATGAATGTAGGATTTGCTTTAAGCATCTGAACCACTATAAAAATATATATTGTCTATCTATTATTTATGTTTCTGCAAACTTATATAATCTCAGCACCATATTCAAATCTCATGAATTCATCACGTGTAATTTCTAAGACTCTCTTAGCACTTTACACGTGCGAGTCGTTGGTGTCAAAATTAAGTATCAACAATATTTGTTAAAGCTTTATTTACTTCCATAGCTACAGTTGAATTTCTTCCCAACATTGAAACAAAACTCTCCCCTGAAATAAATTAGAATCAAAGTGAAGATGAAGGAAAATCAGTTGGGCTTTTGTTTGTTTTGACTGGATAATTTCAAAGTTGCTGCTGTTATCCATGATGTAACATGGGACGCACTGATTTTGATGGATAGATTTTCATATCCTTACTGGGACAAATCCTTTGGGAAAATTGATCTGATTGATGTAATCAACCACATAACTGATATGTTTTTAGTATTCATCAAGTAAACTTTGCTGTCATTATGATATGTTCCAATATCAAACACCCACATTTCTTCCATACCCTTGACTCTTTCTTGCATTGGTGGCAAAAGAATTTTAAGTAAATTTTCATATGATTGAAGTCAGAAATTTTCTTACATTAATATTGATAAAATAAAAAAGAACAAAAATCAATAATTAGATTCATCACAGAAAATTTAACCATCGTACAATATTAATCTCAGTATCATTATCATATTGACTTACCTTTTCGGTTCCTTGTAATTCCAGTAAGAGCTATGAAGTAGTTGGCAAAATGAATAATTAATCTCTTAGGTATAAACAAAATAGCTTATCTATCAAGTGACTGTAAATCATAAACGCAAATTCAAGATCAGCATTAAGAAAGGTACCTGAAAAAGCAAGTTATTTATTAAAGTTTTCTTCTTTGAATTTTTTATATTACACGGCCCACAGGGACCCGACCAGGGTCAGGTCATCCTCTTCCCCAATCAACCTCGTGGCTAATTATGATCACTTACTAAGCAACCCCTCATTTTGTTATTTCTAGTTTGAGTTAATGGTTTTTTCCAACCCAAATAATGGTTTAATGACACTTTCTCATCTATAGATTTTTAAAATATCATTTTGTTATCCAAATTTATACTTTGACATTTTTAAAATATAATTTTACTATCTAAATTTATACTCCGACAACGAACAGAGAACAAACTCAGTCTAGATTGTTGGTGTTTTTGAAGAGGGGCGATCAATGAGTCTTTTGATAGTAGAATATTAGATTTTTGGTGGTTGAAATTGATCAGAATTTGACTTGGAAAAGGTGGCTGCGTAAATACTAATCGCTCGATTACCAACGATTGACGAGGTCAACGGGAGTAGGGTTTGAAGGGTTTTGGTAAGTGATGATCGAGAAAGAGAATGATAGTAGTGTGAGATTGCAACAATGCTAGAATCTGAAACGAAATATAAATTTTGATATTAAAATGATATTTTAAAAGTTTGTAAGTAAAAAAGTATCATTAAATTATTGTTTGGATGGGAAAAAGTCGTTTACTCTTCTAGTTTTTCTTATTCACTCTCAATTTCTCACAAATCCAAAGAAAAATTATATTAATTATTGCAATATCCTGTTTGCATAAATGTAAAGAGACAAAAAATGTAAATTGACATTATTGAAAAAGGGCAGAATTTTAGTTGAGACACAATATTTACGTCAAGAAAAAGGACTCTGATAAATTCTTTAAATAAAAAGGTTTTCTAAAATATTCCTAAAAAATTTCCAACCATTTTTTTTTTTTTTAATTTTATAATGAATTGCCAAACCACCCAAATTCTATTTATATTTTTAATTAAACACACAAGGGGTCAATGATTTTAGTTGAATGATCACAGATTACAATTCTTAAAAAAAAATTAAAACAATGAACACATTATTTAAATTAATTATATCTTTCTATTACTTGTGCTCCACAGTCCCCCAAAATAATATTCAGTCTGAAAATTCTGATTTCTCATAACTAGTAAATTTGGTCAGCCGAGCTAATTGAAAACTTAACCTTAACAACCAGCTATTAATTACAATTATGTTATTCAAACTATACTTAGTTGATGAGTTCCAATCCCACCAACTATTTGGTACAAAGAGCAACTCAAACCTTCATAATATGTTGCTTTCCCATCTTCCTTTTACTTCAAGACAAAACCAAATGAATAGCAATCCCTCACCACTGAAATTAAATCCCAAAAAAAATATAAAACAATACAATGCCCTTTTATATATATCATAGTCTGATATGTCGACCCCTAGCTTGTTGCTCTCTTGAAATATTTGTCACCCGAAATTCAGTGACGGTGACTGTAATTTTTTTTTTTTTTTTCAATTTCAAGTCATAGTTTTCAGGTCAATGGAAAGATCAAAGAAGAGAGTTCAGTTATGGAAGAAAGCTATAGTTCATTTTTCTTTGTGTTTCGTTATGGGATTCTTCACTGGATTTGCTCCAACGGGTAAGACTTCTTCACCAGCTTTTTCAACTATAATGCAAAAGTACGCTCCAGAACCTGTCGAAACGTTTCAACCGGAGATAAAAATACAAGCCAAAACCAATGTTGACAGAAGCCTTGTAGATGAAACTGAAACGCTTCAAGAGCCATCTGCAACAATGGTGGATGATAAAGAATTGGAACGTGCGAAATCAGTTGATATTGATGAAGAAAAAGAGCCCAAGTTGACGCCAAAAAGACTAGTTATCATTGTGACGCCTACGAATAAAAGAGATAAGTTTCAGAATGTGTTTTTGAGGAGATTGGCAAATACTATAAAGCTGGTTTCGCCGCCATTGTTGTGGATAGTTGTGGAAGGAAAGTCGGATTCTGATGAAGTGTCGCGAATATTGAGGAAGACGGGTATCATGTACAGGCATTTGGTTTTCAAAGAGAATTTTACAGACCCGGAAGCCGAGTTGGATCATCAAAGAAACGTTGCGCTCAAGCACATTGAGCAACACAGACTGAGTGGAATCGTTCATTTCGCCGGCCTTTCCAACGTTTATGATCTCGGCTTCTTCGACGAGCTCCGGGACATTGAGTACGTAAAATTTTCATTTTTTCTCTCTCACTTTGATATTTCTTAACTCGACCAATGGCATTTTGACCCTCTCTGGAAGGATACTTCCTTGACTTCAGAAATCCCAATATAATCTCCATTTAGGATTAAAATTTACCCGTGAAGAGCAATCTTATCCATTTATCTCATCTTAGGTATATAACATGATGAAGACCAAAAAAAAAAAATTACATTAAAAGCCATAGTTTTAAAATACTGCCACGTGTCAACAACCTGTACTATTTAGACTTATGCAACTGAAAAAGAAGTCGTTACTTTGTCCGTATCTAGAAAAGTGAAAGCAAAAGCTTCCGTCACAAGCCAAACCCGAACGCCGCCACCACAAAAACTAACCGCATTTTCTATACAGAGATGTTGAGCCGAATGTCACACCTATGTGACAAACGTTTGTTCACTCAATTCGTGTAGTAGTATAGTCGGACGGAGGACTTTATTTATTCAGATTATCTATCACCCCTTTACATATAGAGATGCCTTCATCATCATCGCCTTCTTCTACACAGCAGCAATTGATGACAATTGATGAATCTGTAACCTTAATACCTGGCCTTCCATACGACGTTGCATCTCTGATTTTATCATTCATTCCTTACTCCCACCAATCACGTCTCAAAGCCACCTGCAAATCATGGTGTCTATTTTTCTCATCCAAAACCCTAATATTTCACCGCCGTAAACTCTCCCGCCTATCGCATCTCCTCTGTATATTCCCTGAAGATCCTTCTATTTCGTCTCCTTTCCTCTTCGACGCGTCTAATCTCGCGTGGCGTCCACTCCCGCCTCTCCCTTGTAACCCCTCCACCTACAGTCTCACCAATTTCACTTCCGTCTCCCTTGGGCCCGACGTCTACCTTGTCGGTGGGTCCCACTTTGACGCGCGTTCCTTTCCTTTGGATCTACCACTCCCGACTGACTCGGCCTTCAGGTTCAATTTCATCACCTTCTCGTGGGAGAGAATCGCGCCGATGATTTCGCCACGCGGGAGCTTCGCTTGCGCGGCGGTACCGGGATTGAATCAGATAATTGTTGCCGGTGGAGGGTCCAGGCATAGTTTGTTTGCTGCGGGAGGGAGTAGGATAAGTTCGGTGGAGAGATATGATGTGGCGAGAAATGAGTGGGTAGAGATGGATGGGTTGCCCAGGTTTAGAGCGGGATGTGTGGGGTTTATGGCGGAGGAAAGTGGTGAGTTTTGGGTGATGGGTGGGTACGGGGACTCGAGGACGGTTTCGGGAGTGTTTCCTGTGGACGAGTACTACAGAGATGCAGTGGTGCTGGAACTGAAGAAGAATGACGATGATGGTAGTCATGGTTGGGGGACTTGGAGGGAAGTTGGTGATATGTGGGGGGAAGGGGAGAGGACACGGCTAGGGAAGATTGTCGTTATGGAGGATGAAGATCATCGAAGGCCTGAAGTTTTCATGCTTGATAATAATGATATCTCAAGGTAACTTCTATACTTTGTCTGTGAAATGAGTGAGTTCAGTCCTTTACATGCAATTTAGATTATCTATAGTGGTAGTTAAATCTCGAGTTTAATTTGTTTTTGCTGTGCCATGAGCATTATGTTTCGTTGATTTGGTTATTTACTTAAGCGGTATTCACTTAACTAGCCATAAGGTTAGTCTATGCATAGCTGCTTGAAGGTGTAGGTTTGCCGAAAGTTGCTAGAATTGTAATCAACTAGTAAAATACAAAAAAGTTGGGTGGCAATTGGGTTATAGACGTTGTTGTGAAAACAAAACTTCATATAAATAAACACACTTCTAACTTTTTAATTTGCCTGTTAGATCAATTTTTGAATTCTTTTCGTTTTTTGTGCCATAAATTGATAATCGGTTCCTGTTTCATTTGTTTGCTTACTAATTGTGGACTCTATCTTAGTTATGAACATTAGTTCTTTTTTCTTTCTTTCTTTTTTATTTAACTTTTATTTCGCCATCTATAAACTGTTTAATTGGGTTGCATTTTCTGTCATTTGTGTGTATCTCTGGTTGTGGTTGGTCAATTGCTCAATTTTTTGAGTAAAGATTGTATCTATTTTTTTATTTTAGTAATCTTGCACTGCATAGTGACTTGGTGAGATTAGGCTTTGTTTGATAAATTCAACAAACAGGGTGTGTTAGATTGTTAAGAAAACTAGGAAGCTTGTAACTGAACCAACCTAGATTTTATTTGGTTGCATTTATGAAACATAGTGCTAATAACCATACTGAGCTTGTCTAATTCAATTCAACACTCTTTTTCTTTCAGTTTAGTTTATATTGTTGATGCCTCTGTTTGCCCTGATATGCTTCACCTGGAGCCCTTGTGCAAAGGTTAACTATGTAAATTGTAAAGCTTTGTGTAATTACTTAATTTGTACGTGGTGGCTGTTATTTTCCTCCCAAAGAAAGATTATATACTGTCAAAAGGAAAAACTTATTGGTTTAAATGCCCTTAATCTAGGTTGGGGAAAATACATCCCAAAAGTTTTGAAAATAGTATCAATCCTTTCCTCCCTTTAGTTAAAACAATAATCAGATGTGTGAAATTTCATTCATGCTCCTTAAATAATTATCAGGAAAAACTGTCATTTCGTAGCTTTGATTATTTAATCAACTAAAAACTATGAAATTTTGATGTTGTTTCTGAAATCAGAGGGTTGTAAGTGTGTTTTCCTTAAACCTCAGTGGAGGTCAGTGTATCAAGCATGATGGTATCGAGCGTGTTCTCAAAAAGGAAAGGATGAGAAATGGATGGATGGTTTATCAAGCATTATCATGATGCAATCTCTACACGTGCCTTCTAATCAGTTTACTTTTTGTCGAAACATTACACTTTCAAGTTATCATCTTTGCGTGAATTTAATATGTTCAATTGAAGTTCTATATAGAGACATTATCACATGTTCCACGTATTGTATTCAGGTATGACAAGGCTTTGAACCGGTGGCACAAGGAGACATCGGTGCCAAGAAAAGTTCCTTGCAAGAAATCATTTGGTTTTGTTGCATTGAATGGAGAGTTACATGTGATGAGTCCTGTAAATGGAATAGATTCAATGGAAACGCGACGACCGCGACAACATAAAAGAGGAACTCTGTTCATCCAAGTCTACCATCCTAGGAAGAAGACATGGAGGTCCATTTATACAAAGCCACCATTTCCTCAGCCATTGGATTTCAGTACTGCAGTTATGTGCTCCATTAAGCTGTAGACATAATTGTCTTGTATGTAGTGCAAATACTTGTACCTGAATTGGTTAAGCATTAATATGTGTATACATTGTGTCTATGTTGATACCACTGGTTCTTTGTGGTTAGCATATTAGCTAATCAATGTACAGATTGATAAGGTATAGAATCAGTTCAGTGAATGAATGTAAATACTAAATACTAGTATTGTGTCTTTATTTCGTTTCACCAAAATAGAATAAAAATGGGCGTGCATATATTATTTTGGTGCAGTGGTTCACAATATCTCCAAAACCCTGCCCTCTTTTAATGTATATCATAATCTACCTTTTAGCTTCTGGATAGCTCTTGAGCATCTTTCAGGACCAAATGAAGCGAGACATGACTATTGTATTGAGTACAAGTATTTGGAATTAATTTATATTTTGAAGTATTGTTTATATTATCAACCAAATATCTACAATAAACGCGTGGATGAAAGGATGAAGATGCATAATTTTCTCTTCTAGATAAAAGCCGGGGGAGGAGAGCAGCGTTTTGAAGGAGTCTTATAATTAATTACACTGATGACCCGGTCTTGTCTTGTGTTGTGGCCTTCAACGCGAGAACTCATAAGTATATATGTACATACAGTTGAATATACTGTATTTTCAGAAAAGTTTAATTAAAGTTGGTGACTACAATTGGTGGACACATCAATTCAAAGCTGTATACCCCAATTAGTCTAACCTCCCACATGAATTGTGATTAGTTATCTCCCCCACACCGCCAACACCACAAACCCTTCCCAACTGCATATATTTCAAACACCAATTGCTGTTTTTATTTTATTGAAAACAACAAATTAAATTGAATAATTTAAAAGCTGAAAATAATTAATCATGCATCCATCTCCAAGCCAATGGCGTGACGTGCAATGCATCTTAATATATGTCTAAACTCTAAAGCATGTGACTTTTGATATGAATCAAAGACTCACATTGAATCCCATTTTTTACTTCATGAATCACGACTAATTCAATTCAAATCCATTTACCGCCCGAATCAGTGGTCAAGAATCAAGACACTGTAACAGATCAAAAATTGGAAATTTCCAAGTCAACCAATTAAGTAACTTCCTGCATGCCTTCATATATGCATATGCATATGCATATACATATAGTCTGTTCGCCAATGCAGTTCATCTCAAATTTGAAGCGTCTCTTTTCTGTATGAATCAATTGTTTGTCCGACATAAGCAAAAATGAAGAACCTAAATATGTTGCTAGTAGTGACACTGATAACATCTGTTTTGTCTATGAACATGATGCAACATTACGAGGCTTCCAGAATCTTGGAGATAAAGACACTCCATCATCATCAAAACGAGTTTTTGCTAGAGTCTCTGCAAAAGGCTCCGGTTCCTCCTATAGGAAAAAATGGTTGCACCTACATTCCTGGGAGTGGTGGCCCTCCTTGCACCAATCAAAGGCATTTCGCGGGCCGTGCTGGGCATGTTTCTTCTTCCTAAATAATTGTTCATTCCAATCAATGTGGCAACTCATACTTGATATATATAAAGCCTTATTATATCTAATTTAGTTGAAGTGAAATAAGGGGAAGGTGTCCCAAATACCGTCATTTTCCCTCTTTGTTTTCTGTTTTTTATTTGTTCATTGCGTGAATTAGCATGCAAATGCTTATATACAATTTGTCTTTATTAATAGTGAATATAAAACGAGCTTTTTGTCATTTATACTTGGTTCTTGATCATCTGGAAAAAAAAAAAATTGCACGTACATGCATCATGCAAGATATGTAGTTGACGATGTAAGATGTAGGTATGTATATGAATATGAACAAGAAGCATTTACCGAATACCTAATGAATCTATTTTCATGGCAATCTGTTGATACAGAAATCTGCACCAACTAGAGAATTCTGGTTGACTCTGTCGGAATTGGAATGGATGTGCGTGTGATTACGGATAACCAGCAGTGGAT